CACTAAAAAGTGACGTCACGAGCCCCTACTCCCAAACTTTGACGCGCTATAACTGTCATTTTTTGGTTGATTGCCCAAAGAAAAAATACGTGTCCATTATTTTTTGATCATCTAACTGACGGACTAAATAGAATTTCGTTTACTGTACCCCGTCATCACCCCTATTATATGCTCTCAAAGCAAATTCATCGGATTTTTTTTAGAATATTTAAAAACGGTATTCAAAAACTTTTAAACAGGTGTGTGCCATTTGCAATGGTAGCTAAGTTTTCATCCAAAAAAGTCTATCAGATAGTAAAATAAAGACGACTTGGAATTTATTTATTTATTTTATTTCAATATTTATTTATTACTTTGTTATTCAAGGACAGCATAACCATCAACGACCAACAATATTTAGTATCGTATTAAACTTAATTAGTGTCGAAAACAACCCATTATGTTATTTATCTCTTACTTTTTTAATTTCGTTTTCCCCTTAGTAGCATCAGTTATTAATAACGCGGATAATGTACTGCCTCGATTGCTTTACACTGCGGCACTTCTGCAGTGGCGGAGAAGTTGTGTTTCCAAAGCTTCCTGCTATGCAAACCAGGGAAATGGAAATTAACAGATAGCTTGAACATAACATCATAAAACATTATTTACGCATTCGGTACTACATGATTTTGCAGTATCACTTTTAACTACATTCTCCTCTGCACACGGAGGCTTTGTAGGTACCAGCAGGGCCGGACCGTGAGTTTAGGGGGCCCTTTGCTAATAGTACTTAGGGGCCCACCTAATTACTCAAAGTATAGAAAAAATGATATAGTAAACTATTTAATTTAAATTATAATATATTATGCCTTAGTGTTATACAATCGTTAATAAATTACAAAGAAACCTTTCTACAAAGCAGATATGGCAAATTCTTTAATTTGCTCCTCCCATGATAGGGGTAATATCAATGGAGTTATATTCAACAATGTATTTTTAGGGCCCCTTGAATTTACGGGGCACTGGGCTGAAGCCCAAAAAGCCATATGGTAGATCCGGCCCTGGGTATCAGGGTTGTTAACCGTACGAGAATTCTTGTAGAAATACGAGATTTCTGGTCTTCCGTACGAGGTACGAGAACACTACATATATGTACCAGATTTTGTTAGATAAATTTATAATATGATTTTTACTGGAAAAACATTTCTTTACAGTCTGTGTTTAGTTCACCCGTTGGCCTATAAATTAACCCATTCTATGGTTTGTGCAAATTGTGAACTAGGTTCAAAAGCACGAGATTTTTAGCTGCAGAAGTGCGAGGAAAATCATTCATTCTATGGTTGGCAACCTTGGTAGGTATCTAGTTTTGGATACTTTATTTTAAGCTTCGAGCTTCGCACATTTTACTTATTTAAGGTAACACTCGTGAATAATTATGGTAGTGGTTATTTTTTAACGACATTGATCATTTACGTTACCGTCCAGGTTCCTTCATCTAATGCACTCGTTAACTTGCGCATATTCATTCGCTTCAAATTTGTTGATGTAATAAATTGAAAAATAATATTTTCCCTTTTTTTATGTTCGTCACCTCTATCACAACACAGGTACGTTTTAAATCACTTATACTTCAGCATTAAATCGTGTTACGACGTAAACCGGGATAGAAGGTCGTAAGCCGTTGTCTATGGTTCCTTAGGGACTTGCGATGCGAAAACCTGTATAAATATTAAGCCCCAAAACACGATTGCCCAAAAATAAGACAAATATGCTAAATTCTATTCTGTATTTAAATGTTAGAAAGTTTTGCTGAATATTTAGGTTGAATAAAACCTTATACATTAGAGACATTATAGTAAAATGTATTAATACCATACTGTCTTGTTGATGCTTAAAATCATTCGCTTGACTGTGTTAACCAGCAATGGGGACGATGAAGAACTTAATCTTCTGCGTCTGTTAGCTAGACTATGGAGAAGAATTGGACACGTTTTTTATTCACTTATGCAAAACATCACAGCGATATATTGATTTGAAATGCGACATTTGACGTCACGTCTTGGTACTTGGCACCCCTTAACTTTGTTATTTACGACCTCCGCGACTGAGTGGTTTGTACGCCGGGTTTCAAGGTATCGCCTACTCGAGAGGTCCCGGCTTTGAATCTCGGTAGGGGCAAATGTTTGTGTGATGAATATTTATTTATATTATATTATATTATATTTATTTCGATATAATACTTATATATGTATTACTATATGTTTTCTTTTCGTTACACTAGTATTCCATATCACAAGCCTGTTGCTTACTTATTTATTTTTTAACTAGAGGTCGCCCGTGACTTCGTCTGCGTTGTCTTAGTTTCTTGAAAATCCCTCTGGAACCTAGCATTTTTTCCGGATAAAAGTAGCCTATGTGTTATTCTAGGGTGTCAGCTAACTCCATAGCAAATTTTATTTAAATCGCTCCAACCGTTTAGACGTGAAGAAGTAACAAACATACACTCTCACATACTCACACACTCACAAACTTTCGCCTTTATAATATTAGTGTGATTAATTGACAAAAGAAAAAAAGTGTCCATTGTTTTTTGATAATCCAACTGACGGACTTAATAGAATTTCGTTTAATTTACCTCGTCGTCATCCCCATTCGAACTGAAGCCTGAAGCAAACACTATTCTGATTCTGGCGGATTAAAGATTATATAGTTGCATCAATATATATATATACATATCAATAACTATAGTATCAATATATCAGTTGGTTCTGTCGTACGTACACATATCTTTAACGATGCGGATGCGGACACTTCCGAATTCCAAACAAAGTCACTGACAAAACCAAATCAGGTATTTGTTATTCAGTTAAAAGCGTGTTGCTAACGTTCTATTTAGAAGTCGACATTCAATAGAGGCATGTCATTAAGTTACCGCAACAATCGACCAATCAGATTACGCAAGCGGACAACAGTTTCTCTGTCTGCAGCGTAACCCACTTTTGATCAACACACTATTGTTGTTTTGACTCCATAGACGTAAATGGATAAACTCGTTGAAACCGACACACAAAACTATCAAACTGAATTTCCGATTGTAGCATTGTTTTCTTATTTTTTTTAGATAGCACTTCATACTTTTTATTAATATTAGAGGTAACGGGAATTGTGGATTCCAGGTTCTAATTACAAATTGTTAAGACAATAATAAATTCTTTGTTCTACAAAAGATTGCATTTAAAGAACACAATGCTTTTCTGTGTTGTATTTAATACCTCTAAATTCGCCAACGCTTGTTTTATTTGTTAACATCTTAAAAAATTGTTTGCTGTTTAAAAATTGTAATGTTTTTGCTTTCATACTTCATTTTAAACACACGTCTGCTTTGGAGCTATTTATTTATAACGTAAGGTGATTTAGGGGGAGAGGGGTGTTGACCATGTCTTATATTTTTTTGCATGAGGTGGGGTGGTATCTTAATTGTTCTTATGTAAAATCAAAAAAATTGCGCAAAGTAAAGATTATTATAATTTAAAAAAGTTTATTACTAACAAATTATTAAAAATTAATAGCACCTTTGTAAATATTCCTAAGAATTGGTACTTTGAAAATAAATTAAAAATGAATGGCCCCTTTCTTATAAAATAGTTTTGGAATTTTATTATATTATATAAGTCTATGGTCGGACCGTGTGCATGGAGCATTAGGGTTAGTGATGTAACTCACCTCACCTTGTAGCAACCTTGACTGTTTTTGAAGAGGAAATGCTTTATCGTGATCTTTAAGGATATTAAACCTCCTTGTATATAAATTAAAACATAATTGTGTGAACCGGGATGTGAATTTTTGACCAGTTCTTATAGAATTATTTGCGGCATTGTTATTGTTTAAATGTTATTTAAAGCTATTAGCTAAAACATGTAAAACAGCTAAAGTTGTTAAAAGCATGTAAACGGCATAGCTAGAAGTTCTTACAAGTCAATTCGTAATCAAAACTTAATGCGTACAAGTATAGGTGACAAGTTGTAAACTTGGTACTGATAGCATCCATCCAAAACTATTTACATCGAATTAACATGGTATTATTGAAGAGGGTTGTGATGCAGGGTCTGCATTCTTTAAGTTAGCTTTCGAGATACCACGATCATCGTTCATTCGATTTGAAGAGTACCATAACTCCTCTGGATGTAGCTATGGAGCTAACGTTTTACCACAACCGACCAATGTTTCTCATATTTGAATACTATTGTATTCTAAATTTAGATTTTACAGTTAAATATGTCCGAATTGTTTATTTATCGCAGAAATAAGCATATTACATAAGGATCAGCTTAAAACAATATTAATACAAGCACTAAACAAGCGCTGAAAGTGTTTCTGAAATTTTGCTAATCATGACACGTTTACTAGCCAACGTTAGGGCTCAACGTGAGCTTTCTTTAAGCCACTGTGGAATTTCCTAAAGCTGATACTTTGCTGGCAGGTAAACCTGTTTAGGAAGGGGTTTTAAATATTTTAAATATAAAAATAGCTGGAAAAGGTGGGTAATCAATGCATTTTTTTTTCGTCAAACCTCCGATTACGGAATCCGGTGTGAAAAATTATAAAAAAAAATATTGATAGTCAACAATTAGTCAAGTTCTCTCCAACAGTAGCTAATAGGTACATTTAACACAATTAAAAAGCACGAACTGCAGAATTGGCTCGTCTGATTTAAATTCCCGTTGAGAGTCTATTACCCATCCCTTGATCATATTATATTAAGAAAGTAGTAAAAGGTCTAGAAGCGTGATAGAGGCGGTGAGATGTCCCGCTGATATTTTATTCATTCACTACAGCCGTCGGTTTGCTGGACGAAATATCACCTGAGGCGGCACACAGAATATTCTACAAGGGTGAATAATGCCTGGTCCTCCGTAAACTATGCATTTGCATACATTGCACCATTTTCAGTTTTACGTCCATAAAACAAACACAACACCCAATCCTTTACTTCTCTAAGTGCAGTGCGACACAACAGTGAAATGAAAAGGAATGCAGTGATGGAATATTTAACTAGTGTTGGTGCATTGAAGACAGTGAAAATGTTGGTTCTGTCAAATATGTTTCGTGCACAAAATCAAGTGGGTCCCAGAGGCGTTGAAGCGCTGGCTGTGGATAAAATGAAGAAATGCGAATTGACGTCGCAGAGTTCTCTGAGAATAAAGCATAGGACAAAAACGCACGATGACGTCAGCACGAAAACTGATGACACCAAATCGGCTAGACGAGAAAAGTGTCTCTCTAGCAGTGTGGACGCTATTATAACACGCGATGACATTAAAAATAAAGTGATATGCAGTGCCAAAGGTTTATTAGAAACAAATTTAGATGATCTTTTTGATGACGTCGGTGATTGGTCGGAGCCAAAGAGTTTGGGGGCTAGCGAGCCGACGTTGAGTTACAACGAGGACAATTTTAGGAGTAAGCGTGGATCTCTCGTGTCAGAGGATGACAGTGGTGAAGATACAGCTACTGACAGCGACTGCTTGGATGAAGTTGCGCGCGAGCAGAGGATATGTCTTGGTGCTCGCCGCATCGGACACATCCTACGGAGAGTCATATCTAGAAATGGTGAGTTGGAAAAATATATTTAGTTTATATTGTGGATGTATCATTGTGAATGTTTAAAGTACAGCCTTAATCTTTTCTATTTTCCACACTGTTCAATTTATTTGACAAAGAAATTTCTTATCAAAAATTATCGATTTTGCGACAGACATATCCTGTGCAGCGTATGTCCTAAATTGTTTTGTTTATTTATACATAAAAGGAAAAAGTAGAATTTCTAGTTCCATATAATCCCATTATTTTTAACACACACTAATTATCCTAGCCCCAAAATAAGCACTGAAAGACTTGTGTTATGAGGGATGCGGATAGAATATGTATCATCATCATCATCAGCCTAATTAATGTCCCCATGAATATGAATACTGATACTGATATATATTTACATATATGTATAAATAAAACAATTCGTGTGTATCGGTATTCATTATAATTTTTTAACTGAATTGTTAAGCATTATGAATCACATAATATATTAATTGATTTGATAAATAGTGCAATGAATAGCGTCCCACGCTTTTTCAGTTATATATGTATGTTAAAATTAACTATAAACACGGCCAACTCTAAGGCCCTAATGAAGTAAACAGAGAGTATATTTTGTTTATTTTTGGCTTTTTAGTGCAGTAAATAAAAGCGAGTTTTTAGTTTTTTTTAAACTATTAATTTTTAGTATCGCAGGCTTCAATAGGCTATGGTGACTGCTTACCACCATAAAAAAAAACATGACTTTGGTACAAATGCTCGTCGTATTCGTCATACTAGCATCAGCCCCACCGGCATTCGAACCCGAGTAGGCGACAAGTTGAAACCTGGTGTCCATAGTACTCGGCTACGAAACTTTCATTCTTCAAATGCCATTAGGCATATGAAGTGTTTGTTGGGAGTTAATTCATGTCGTAAGATACGAAACTAAATGACGATACATTGTATGAATGCGTTTTTTAATTTGGTCACCGAATATTATTGTGTTGTTCCGCGTCCGAAGGGTACTGATGATTACCTCAGAATATTTTCACTTTTTCTTTGCTAATATGTCTGAGCGTCACAAATTCGATGGCTATTCCATTTCCCTGTATGGTAAAAAAACGATTAAATTAACTTTCTCGTCACATTGTGATATTTTTAGTAAGTACGTCCGATCAACAATAGGGTGATGACGGGGTACAGTAAACGAAATTCTATTTAGTCCGTCAGTTAGATGATCAAAAAATAATGGACACGTATTTTTTCTTTGGGCAATCAACCAAAAAATGACAAAGTTATAGCGCGTCAAAGTTTGGGAGTAGGGGCTCGTGACGTCACTTTTAAGTGAAAATTGTACCAAAACGTGACGTCATGCGACTTTTCAAATCAATATATCTCTGCAATGTTTATATTATGTCAAAAAAGAAAAAATACGTGTCCAATACAGTACCTGATTAACCAAGAAAAAAAAATAGTAATCATCCCTATTGCTGTTGTTATGCAGCAATAGGAAATATCCATAAAATTAAAATTTATCTCCAATATTTGTTTCTAGATTCTTAATTGTTTTTACATTATGCTTAATATATATTTTTAGTTTTTATTTAAAACCCAGAAAATTTTATAAACAATGTCGAAAATGAGGGAGGGAAATTCATGCTTACAAAACGCGTCACCATTGGACGAAACGAAATATGACTTAAATGGTAACGATTTATCGGCGTCGATATTCATGCTGTGTTAGTAGGGTTTGCGAATAAAATTGTTTAAAACTGTATTCCTGTACGATTACTTAAAAATATTAATTTGTAGCCAATCTAGGATCATGACAGAAACTGATTTTTGTCCAATCACAATCGGATAATCTACCGAAAATAGATGTGTTTATGATGTCAGCTTATACTGCATCAAATCTCGATATTATGAAAGCAGAGATCACCTGCACACACAAGAATGTATGAGGAGCAACTCCTTTCTTTCTTTTTGGAAAGGCTTCAGCACCATAGCCACATCCACACGCTGCGACAGATCATGCATATTCCTTCCGACAATCGGATAGGTGGGATTTTTTTTTGTTTTAAAGAGAAACTTTAAAAAAAAACTTATTACGTCATTAGAAATGATGCAACTAGATGAGTATGAAAACCTAAAGGTGTGGTATTGTCGAAATTGGGTCGATTCTAACTGCTGGGACTTACCTATAGTGTTCATTGACATGTGACGGGCAGTTGTGCAGTCTTAGTTGAATGACCAATTCATTTGAAATGTAGGTATCTACATTGTATGTTAATATAGCAATGCTTAAAATAATACCTACTGCAATGCCCTTTACACTTAATAAAGTGAGCAAATAACAAATGAAGACTTTATGTGCAAATGTTCATGATAAATTTTGATCATAAATATCAGATCAACGAGCCATCGTTAATACCATAATATAAAATATGCTCGAGTATTTACTTATCTAACAAGTCAGTCATTACCTAAGCCAAATACCATAATAATCCTTAACTGTCAGACATACCCATCATTTAAATCCTAAACTCAAAAAAACTGCTAAAACGATTATCGTTGCAGTCATATCCCATAGCTTAAAAAGTAAAAAAGAAAATATGTCAAAAAAATACAAATAAGTTTAAATCTCACCTTCCCCTTTCCTTCAGAGGACCACGCGCGCTGGCCTACGTTGTCACCGTTTTACTGTGGCCACAATTCCAACGCGTATAAAGAAATTTGGTGACTCATTTCTTTGTCGCACTATCCGTAAATGGAATGCTCTGCCCGCTCACGTGTTCCCTTCCTCTTATAACCTGGGATCCTTTAAAAGAGGCGTGACGAAGCAACATGCAGGCCGGCAGGGTGAGGATGGCTGGTGTGGCAGGTAGAACTGCTGTATCAGCTATCTTCGCGTCTGGACTTCGGACGCCCACTCACCCAAGCTTGCAGAAGTCACACCATCCCACATCGGACAAGCAAGCAAGCAAGCCCGGTCCGCGGCTGCTTAAACTGATCCTGGGCTTCTCCGTTCATAGCCTCAACTGATAGGGCACAAGGACCTTGATCAGAACGGCTAGCCAGCCGACTAGCTCACGTACCTACCAGGTAAAGTAACTCACCGATCTACCTCACTCCCCAGGCATAACTGCGGGATTCTTAGTGGGTTGAGCCACACTTTATCGTGAACGGCCATTGAGCCGGCCCCATGTGCTAGCTGAGTAGCTGGGTGGGATTTAGGGGGAGAGGAAGTAACACATAACCTCTTCTCTCACCTGGAGGCAAGGAATACGCTACATTTCCCTAATATAAGAAAAATAGTGTGCACGGACCACACATTCTGAAGTGGAACATCTTTCTGACATTAGGCGGTGCATAAGGCATAGGGTATATACATATATAGTCGTGTGACACTGGTGACGCATTTCCGTTTCATCTTTTCCATAGGATTTTCCTTTTACAGGCAAAAAGTTTCACTTCAAAAGGCATAACTGCGGCATCCAGTTATGAGTCGCCGCTTCAGCTCATATACAAGCTATATACATAGCACATAACATCGCCGCATGTAATCCTATTAGTGGTGTTGTACGTACAGTCCGTGACAAAAGTTTCCAAACACTAACAGTCGGTGCTGTTTAACTTCTACTTCGGAAGCAGTTTAATAGCTTATATTAGCTCAATTAACTATATAACGATTCGCTGTTGCTTTTAAACTAGTTTTGTATAAGTTGTCTTTCCTAAAATATTAACCTCTTTTTGTTTTCTATAAAACTTGACGATTTAATTGTTTTTGAAGAAGCGCGTTACGCGTTATGAAAAGTGTGTTCGGGCGAGGCGAAAGGGAAGTTGAGTGGGGGATATAAGCAAGAGAAAGCTGTACGCGCGCACATTTTCTTTCTCTCTTTCTCTTATAGCTAGTAAGTGAAATATGTATATGTACATACATCTATATATTGTATGTATATATATGTATGTAAATATACATACATATATATACATACAGATGGAGCTAAAGAAGTTTCACTTCAGTCGTGTGACTCGTTTTTTATCTGACCAGTTTCATTATTCAATATGTTGTCACTGCCTAAAATTACCTACAGTATCAAACAAAAACACCTGACGATCTACACTTAGTAAAAAAAAAATAGCTTTTGTCCATCATTTATGGAAACTCGTAATACCTTATTATCAGAAAGTGGGTTTTTAAAAATACAGATACAAAGAAAAATGTAAATTTTCAAATAATTCAAATGAAGCAGACATATTAAAATATTCAATTTATCTATTACATTGCTGTTTTAAGCAATTCAACTGGTAGATGTTTATAATGTATTCGTAGCTTATGAAAATATTACCAGAAAAATCTCGCCTAGACATTATTTTGTTTAATTTTACATAAGCTTGCAACTAATTCACCATCTACGTACCCGACTGTACGTCTCGCTAATTACTGAGCTGCTGAGCTCAAATTAAAAATTAATCGATCGTTTGCCAGTACCTTCCTACACGCTGAGTGCTAGCCAAATCAATTTGCGCCTCGACCGATAATAATGAAATTCGTCGATTACACAGACCCCTTGGTACCGTTCTGTGAACTACTGTTATACGATAATCGACTGACCGCGTCTCTACGGTCATTGAAACGTTAAAGTAAAAATAAATATATACTTACTTCTAAAACTCACACCAATTAGTTAAGCTCCAAACGGTAATGCTGAACGCTATGTTTGCATAATTATGTTACGAAAAAAAAAAGATTTATATAAAGGAGAATGACACATCTCGCCTATATAACGCAATTATGAAATGTGCCTCAAAAGAGTGATTTTGATTCGTGTTGTTAATTTTTAAGTAAAAGCACAATATACTTTAAAAAAATAATATTAATTAGTGCTGCTTATAATTAGTACAACATCTTTACTGTAAATGTTTTAGCCGTATAAATCCAAGAGTATTTTTATCGATACGAATCTTAGAGTGTCACGAGCATCAAATCTAATTCTCGTCTCAGAAAGTTTTGAGAAACTAAAAAACTAACTTCTATGAAAAAAATATTTTTATTAAATCTTTTCAAAGAACTCTCCATCAGCTTCTATACAAAGTTTCTTGCGTCTGAACCAATTTTCAAAACATTTTTCCCAGTCCTCCGCAGACACCTCTTCCACGGCCTTCTCAAACGCTTCTTCTGGCGATGAAAACTGTATCCCTTTGAGCTGATTTTTTTATTTTAGGGAATATAAAGAAGTCACACGGAGCAAAATCATGACTTTAAGGAGGGTGTCCCAAGACTCTGACTGGTGTGGAGTCCAGGAAGTCCTTTTTTTGATCGCAGAGTGCGCGGGCGCGTTGTCGTGGTGAAGAAGAACCTGGCGGAGCCCGGTGTTAGGTCGCTTGTTGCTCATTGCAGAAAAAACTTCTGGCAGGCATTTTATGCTATACCATTCGGCGTTGA